ATCCCGTTGCGCCGATCACTATAGGTACGACTGTTGCTTTCATTTTCCAGAATCGAGATGAGTTCCAATGAGAATACATTCGCCTTTCTTTTTATCTTTAATGATGATGTCTGGTTTATTGGCTTCAATGGATTATTGGCTTAAATTCAGATTCTGATTCTACTTTTAGGTTCGCTTGCGAGAGCCATTTCCATAATTGAGAGCTATTCATTATTTCTTCTTCAGCTTCACTCGCTATCTGGCTATTATTATTATTCTTCGGTATCTCATAGCTTTTTCTTTGGGGTTATGGTTTATCTTTTTGAGGAAATAACCGGGTACACACTGTGTGCCTAAGGTTATTCTTTCTTCGGTGCTGGTCTTGTGCTTGCTGCTGGTTTCCTATAGAACTTTCCGTAACATATAAGAGCGGTGCTCAGCATAACCGCTTTCTAAAGTGTCATCGGGTTTTGGGTTCCGGAGAGTTGTTTTATCGCTTGACAGGTGTTGTTCGATATCAATCCTGTGGCGCCGATTACCACAGGGACTACTACTGCTTTCATGTTCCACAGGTGTTGTATTTCAATTTGTAGATCTTTATATTTCAAGCGTTTCTCTGCTTCCTTCTGGGTGATGTTGTAGTCCGAAGGGATTACTACGTCTATCAGCATGCATGTGTTCTGTTTCTTGTCCTTCACTATGATGTCAGGCTTGTTTGCTAGTATGATTCTGTCTCGTTCCATATTATTGTGATTTCAGAATTCAGGAGTGTCGTTGACGAGTTCCGGGCTGTATTTGTACCATTTTTAATATACTTTTACTTCATACTATTTGCAGATTTTCCAGTGCAGGTGGGCGGTGACTGTGTTGTGGCGGTTCAGGTAAGCTTTCTTCGCTAGGATAGGCATAGTCTATATTTTCTATATCTGCCTTCATTATCCTTGCCTTCATATAGTTAGTAGTTATAGCTTGCTCCTGACATGCAGTTGCCAGTGCTTCGGTTTCTATTTTCAGATTTGTATGGGTGAGCCACTTCCATGATGCAGCTCTGTTGATGGTTTCCTTTTCCTACTCCTTTGCGATTTGTCCAAGTAGGGCCTTTTCCCTCCACCTTGTTGCCTGTTATCTTCTCTTCTGTTGTTTCAATTCTTTAATCTGTTTGTCTCTTTCTTCAGGTTGGTTCGGGCTGACGTTTTCCGCTTTTTCCCTGTTTCGCTATCTTTGTCGGTTCACCATGCAGATGTACTTGTCTTTTTTTTTGAGGTCGAGGTAGGCGTTCAGTTCTCTTATCGAGATGGTGTGGCAGTTTTCCAGGCTTTACATGCCTCTCTCTCCTTCTCTACGTGGCAAGTATAACCGGTCTACGTTGACTTTGGGGTGGCGTCCGCCAGTTTCACTTGTATCTTATTGTGCTGTATTCCGTCCGTTCTCGTTAATTCCGTGGTACTTGTACACTCCGTATTGTTCTAATGCCTTGATGCTGGTGTTCTCGTCTAGTACTATGTTTTCTTTCGCTTGTAGCTTTCTTTTAGTGAATGTAGCCTTTGCGCATTTATCTAGTCCAAATTGCATCTTTATGCCTCTGCTGAATTCGTGTACTTTTTGTAGTTGTTGCGTTATTTTATCTTCGCTTTTAGCTATCAGCTTCAATCTTATACCTGTCCTGTTAAGGATAGTACTCAGGGGGAACAGGCACATACATAACAGTAGCAGTGACAACGAATCTCCCTGGTAAATGTCGTTATTGATGTTGATTTCTTTGATTGTGAGGGTTGTTGATTCGGTTGACAGGTGTATGTCAGTTTTCCAAGTAGCTATGGATTTTGTTATAAGGGCTAGTGTTGAGGAGATTCGGTATATGTTCAGGGTTTCCACTAGCCAGCTGTGAGGTACACTGTCAAACGCTTCTCTGTAAGCAATCCATGCTATTGAGAGGTTTTTGCTGTTGTTCTTGCAGTCTTTTTGGATCATGTTGGTAGTGAGGGGGTCTTTGCAGTGTTCTTGACGCAACCTTTTTGTTCGTCAGGGAAGAGATTATTGTCTACTAGATGTGAGTAGAGTCTCTCTGATATTATATTTGTAAGGATTTTGTATACATTGTTCAAGCAGGTTATGAGGCGATATGATTCGGCTTTTTCAGTGTCTTTAAATTAGGAGATCAGGTGGGTCTTACCTTTTGTTAATCAGGCGGGTGTCTCCTGTTCATCTTCATGTCATTTGAAAAATTTGCCAGGGTTTCATGTAGATTGCTTCTAGTTTCTTCCACCAGAAGTTTGGTATGTTGTCTATTCCTGCTGCTTTCTAGTTTGCTGTTCCATCGGTTGCTAGCTTGAGTTCGGCTAGGCTGATGACTGGCCATTTCATGAATTTTATTTTGGAAGTTTTTTTCGTATTCTTTCTGAATCCAGGTCGCAGTACTATTGTGTCTGATGTCTCTTTTCTTGTTGGGCGTCCCTCTGATTGCGTTTTTCTTCCCTAGTATCTCGTTGTAAAATCAGTGTCCGTTTTCCGTGTACTGTTATTCTGATAGTATTGGTTGCTTCTCTCGGTGTATCGTTTTATTCTGAAGGCTTTAGCTGCTATTTGTTGTTTCAGTTTTTCTTGTGTTGCCTTAAGTTGAGTTTCCTTGCTCTTGATGTGGTACTTCGCAAATAGTTTTCTTTTCTTCTCTTTAATCATTTTGCTGAGCGCAGGGCTTCGGGTCCCTTTCAGCTGTGATAGATCTTTTCTCAACGTTGCTATTCGGCACTGGATTCTTCGCTTCCATGGTGGTTCTTCTTCTCTTGCTTCAGGTCGATTCCCTTTTGTTTCTGGTATCAGGATGCTCTGTATTGTTGCTGCTGTGGCGTACGCAAGGTTATTGATTGCCGTTACGTTTCTGTATTCATCTGGGTGTTGTCTCATTATTTCTTTAATTGCCTCATTGCCGCTTTTGATTAGTTTGTTGGCTTTTTCGTTGTTTTTTATTTTCTTTAGAGGATTTCTTTGTGTATTTTTGTCTATCCTTACTTCTTTTACGGTGGTCAGTATTTTCGCCCTAAGCCCACTGCATGCCGCATTTTGATCTCACTCACAGAAATTTCGGCTATCACAACCAGAAATATGTATAATGCAACAATACATATAACAGTTGATATAGGCACAACCACAAATATAGTTAAATGTATCATAGATATTAGATATATTGTTAATTGTTATTGTTCCTTCACAAATATTATTGTTTTTTTCAACTAGATTATATCAATTGCTATTACGTGTCCTACCAAAGCTGCATGCTTCTCATAAATATAAATATTTTAAAAACAACAATAATATTGTTGGTATTGCAATATAGTATTGATACAATTACCTTTTTGACAATTTCCATTGATCATATTTCACAATCTGCAATCACATCATTTGTTGGAACAATAATAATGTACATTTTCAATGCCAATTATTGCTCTTCTAGCAATGCGTTTTGTTAGAATTATCAATGCTTCTTAAGTAGGTACCTACAGGAGATCAACAAAAACAATTTCAAAATATTTAAAACATTTATTTTGCAAATAAATACAAAACTGGCATAGTTAGAATACACACGCGTTATCGTTTGTATCACTTCAAATGGGAGGGCCCTAGAGAAAAGTTTCCCTTTCTTCGACAGTGCCGATGTCAATGGCTTCTTTTTGGCCGGTTCTTACTATACAACACTGTCTTTAAAAATATGCGTATTATGTAAACTTAAAAAAAAAATCAACACAAATATCTGGAGTATTCACTTACTTGGTTTAGAATCACTTCACAGCGAGCTTTAATAGTTCACGAGGTTCACGTTTACGTTTAAACACAAATAAAATATATAGAAGGGCTTTAGAAGGGGAATGAAATTGTTGAAAAGTAAGAGAACGCACTCGTGAGAGAGAAACTATTTCTGCTTCCTGGCCATTTTGGAACTAAATTGGTGCGGTAGGGTAAAATAGCTTACTTGCAGCCGTCACGCGTCGGCGCCTGAGGCTGAGGCCCGGGTACGTATCGTTCTCCTAATCAAACGTGTTATTAGAGCAACATGAACCGATTCCACAAAATACACGGTCATATACGGTAATGATATCGCTAAAGTAGTTGACCGGTATATCGGTATCGGAATCACACAGTTACATCTATTCCACCTATACAGTATTGTTCCGGTAGCTAGATTCTATATAATTGAACCAAATATAGCTTATTATTGCCATCACAACAATATGTTTTTAGCAGTTCTTTATATTTATTTTGACAATATATTTATTTAACAATCATGATTGTTACTACCGACATTTTATTACACTTGGTACATAATTTGTGAGTGTTCTTTTGTTTGATTCGTTTTTTTCTGTAGGCACTTTTGTTTTTTGGAACCAGCGTTTACAGGTTTTATATAATTTTGTTCGAATTTATCAGTAATCAAATAATGATCCAACGCGAAACAGAACCGCGTTTCGCGTTGGATCTTTGGCTTTCTTTTTCTAATTATTTTTCGTCCTTTCTTGATTATTTTTTGAAATTTCGCCGCCTCTCCAGATTTGCCGCTTTACGTCTGTGCGTAATTTGCCTATAGGGAAAGATGCGGAAAGATGGTTCCTTTTGTCGGTACTTCAATTGCAGAAGCCCCAATTATTGTGACTATAAATAAATATAACTCTCAGACCTTATTTTATTATCCAGATGGTGAGAATTACTCTTAAGTTACTTTTAGTTTTATTATTGTACAAACTTTCCCCAAGTAAAATAGTAATTAAATATTCTAGCACTTATACCTAGGTACTTATATTTTAGGGAAAACTTTAAAAACGCCCTCCTCAAGGACGTCCCATCAGAATGAAAACATTTTCCAGGTTACATTTAAAATTCATAACACTGCTTTCAGAAATATTCAATGATAACAAGTTTGCATCACGCCACTCCCTGACCATAACATCCTGGTTCACAGTTGAATGAACAAGTTCTCAACTAGTTATAAATACCTAGTAGTTGGATTTAGAAAAAATAAAACACCATCATCAGATCAAAAAATTATATTATCCGCCTCAGTTAGATCGCTTGGGGGATTTCAGAAATAAGACATTTTAACAATTTCGAACAGCAAGTTGCTGTGTTTTGGAAAACAACTAATAATCAATATTCTTTTACAGTTAAAATAATAGCAATAATATGTCTGACTTTCTAATTGATGTAATGTTTGTCTTTAATTTGTTCCCGCTTGATCATTTCGTATTGATAAGGCGGTTGCCCTGCTTCCACTATCCAAACGGTTCCGCTAGGAGCTTTCTCGATAAGTCTTATTACATGAGGACTCATTTGTTCCGGTCTAAAACAAATATCAATAAATAATCACGCTATTCTTTATTCCTTGTTAGTCAAATGAAACATTTTCTGGCACACGTTGAAAAATTAAAAATAATATAAAAATCGTGTGTGTAAAATTTCCATTGGCTTACCCTGTATAAATATCCTGTAGTGCCAACTCTAAAAATATTCAACTTTTTTCTAGAGACACAGTTCACAGTCATGACTGGACTTGTCAACGACTGGAGTTATAAAATAATTTAAAACTTCACTTTAACATTAAACTTACGTTTGTTTGGGAACATTAGGATCCAATTCTGGAGTTGACAACAGTATTTTCTTATATCTGTCGTTGTACATATTCTCCATGACTCCAGCACCCACTTGGGTCATTGTAACTCCCGGGCAAACTCCTATAACTTTTACTTTGGTGTCTTTAAAATGCGCTGGATGACCCCAGGCCAATGTCAGGCCGTGAACACCGAATTTGGATGCAGTGTAAGCAGGACAAGCCACATGAGGTGACACACCAGCTATGGATGCTATGTTTAAGATCACTGCTTCCTCGTCTGATTTATATTTAGGCAGGTAAGTTTCTAGACCGAGTAGAGTTCCACGAAAGACACCACACTAGAAAAAATTTAGATAAATGTATGATGTTATAATATAGGATTTTATAAAAATAATCTTTAATTGCGTAAAATTCATATCTGTTTCAAATCTATAATTCAATGCTTCCCAAAGCTCTTTTACTACACCATATTGATACTGGCTGCACTAAGGAAGAAGTTAAAAATGTAAAAATGTAATTCATTTTGAAACAACTTTGCCCAATAGGTAAACAAATTAAATTATTCAACGAAAATACTCACAAGCAAACCAAATTGGGAAGAAAAATATTGAAAAACTGGTATTGAATCAAGTCAGAATATTTTGAAAATTCAGAAAATATTAGATGTAGGACCAGATAAGCTTTTGTCACAGAAACTAAATAAATTAACATAATGATAGTTTCTGGGCGGCGGCAGCGACAGTATAATACAACTTCGCGTAGTTCTATCTGGACAACTCCATTGAAATTATTATTCAATAGAAATATTCCATCAATAAACGATTCAAATAGTCAATCTACAGATGAAGGGCCTACGATAATCATTAAAAAGAGGAAAATATAGCAGGGAAAGCAAAATACGTGAAGAGGGAGAAAATGTTATATTGAGAAACATGCTCTATCAATATAAAGGTACTAGATATTAAAAAATCAAAGAAGTAAGAAGTGTGTCATTTTTTTCAAGATAGAGGCTACTTCACAATGACATACTGAGTATTTAGGTACTTTAGCACAATGATCAGTATAGTCTGATATAAAATTTAGAATTTATAGCTTCGATACAAAGAAAAATTGATATGAATTGGTCAGTTAATAACTTAAAATTGGGTAGATTCTCCAATTAAATTTATTGTAGACTTCTAACTTTCTTTCTAAGCGGAGGATCCCCGTAATTTCGATGGAAATTGACCTAGATTGGGTTAGATTGAAACTGAATTTCAATGAACATTGGACTAGATTGGGTCTACTTCATTATCTATCTTGAAAGTGAATATGTGAACTGTAAATCCGAGCCATTCGAAGTAATTATGTAACCTCCTAGTACTCTTCTCTTCACCTACTACTAAGATTATGTAAAGCATAATCAAAATTTTTTGGAAAGGACCCTGCACACTTCTTATGGGATTTCTGACCGCGGTCAATTTTAATCAAATTTTAGTATGTTATAGATCTGACCTTTCTGATCAATAACTACCATGATGGGCACAACTTCATCCTATGAGATACAGGGTGTTCAATCAGCCAAATCATATTCGTGTGAGAATAGACCTTTTCAAATTAGAATAATTCTGTTACGCATGCGCAAAACATTGTTGCCAAGTGTCGGTTTCTATCACGCTATACAGGAAAGAATCATGAATAATTTCGATTTCATTAGAACTGAGATTCAATTTCTTTATTATTTATTAACCTAATATTTGATGCAGCCAAAGATTTCAGTTATTTATTGAAAAGATATCGGGTCTTCAAAAAAAAAAACAATCAAAGATTACTATGGTTTTTTAAACGTATGTCTTAGCAATATTTGTCTTTAATTTTGTCAATGAAATTTAATGTCAAAATGTCTTGTCAAAAATCCTGACGAATAAAGAAACAGTAATGCGACGTACGTTTTCGTGGTCAAAGCAATCTTCGATTGATTTTTTTTTTTGAAGACCCGATGTATTGATGGTCATTTTATAAAGTTTTTTTTTTAAACCTAACGCGCTTCAATTTGGACAAGCCGGTAACATCGCACAATTTCCCTGTCATTTCTTCAATCATCTGATTATTGTTTTGCGGTCCATGTTACACGTTTTTGCATGGGGAAATATTGGAAAAACTTATTTAAAAATTAGTAAAAGCGATGGGGCACACTAATATTCTGTTTTTGGAAAGTTTAATAGTGACAGCAGAGTTGGCCATGTCTTCAACGTAGATTCCTTTTAAGTTCTAATACGCTATTTTTCTCTACAATCTCATTGCGTAAAATTGCACCCGGCACATCTGTTGCTGATAATTTAACTTTTTTTAAAGGTATTTGGGCTATTTTAAATTGGAAAAGGTATTAATTACAACTTTTTTATAATACTTGCTATGTTTTTTCGACCGCAAAACAAACAGCCAACATAACCCCACTTATTTGACGCGCAAGCGTATTGTGGACCTTGAAAAGGTCTATTCGGTCAAGGCACAAAAATCAAGTAAAATACCAATAGTTATTTGTGCTCGAACCATAGTTTATGCACAGGATGTCCTATTTTGGTTGTACCGGGTCTTTCCCTCATAATTTCTACAGCTTGAACAAAAAATAATTTGAAAAAAAGTTAAATACAAAAGTTGTAGGGTTTTGTCTCTATTATCTTTTACATGTGACAAATGGGCAAATGACAGGTGCCAACTGGTGCCAACTGTCATAAAGACACTTGCATTTTTTCAAATGGAACACCCTATATATTTTTGCCTAGATTTTTTTCTCCTGATTCTAAATATATGTTGATATTTGGTTCAGCTGTTTTTACGCTATTTAAGTTTACATCAAAAGCTGCTTACATGAAGCAGCAAAAGAGTCATTAGGATACTTTGAAAACACCGGCCTCAACAAACCCTATTGGAGGGATGAAGAGATAGAAGAGGAAATTGTAGTAAAAAAACAAACTTATGGAAAATATCTTAGTACTCAAACAGAACGCCACAAAGAATTAAATGACCTATCAGAAAGGAGAGTACGTAATATGATCACGGAAAAAAAAATCGACACAAGAGCAAGACGCGGTAATAGATTAAACTCTTATATAGGAGGAGCAAAAAGCACAGAAAGCTGGAGATTTCTATAATCTTTGAGGCAAGAGAAGACCAAAGAAATCCTTACTTACTTACTTACTCACTGAAGACCGCGAACAGTTACTCATTGGGCGTCGACCGGTGAGATACCACCATGCCAGAATTGAGTAGCGCTAAGTGGCATCACCACGTTCCGCTACTGCGCTGGCAGTCCGGTTCCAACAATGAGTAACAGATAGCATGATGGCGCCTCCAGGATCAAAAGATTCCGGAGGTAAAATACCCGACCACTCGGATCTCCGGGCGTCGGGTGATCCTGGGGGTCCTTCATGCAAAGATATAAAAAGATCAAAAACTCAACTCAGAATTGATTTTAGCAATATAAGAGGAATAAGTACAAATATGAATTCAGTTCACCAACATCTTGAAGAACAAAGACCTGACATCTTTGTTCTCACTGAAACTAAAATCAGTTCTGCAACATCTATTGTGAACTATCTTTATCCCGGCTATGACCTACACCACCGATTTCGACATAATTTTGGGATCTGTGTGTACATTAAAAATGACCTTTCATGTCATCGAGAGGAGAAGCTAGAATCAGCGAACCTTGATATCATATGGCTAAAATTCACCTCAAAGTCATCGACCAAGTTTATCTGCTGCCTCTACCGACCGCCAAGTAACACCGATTACCAAAACTTTTTCGCGACATTATCCGAAAGCTGTGATAGTATACAGTCAAACTATCCACAGGCGGAAATTGTCTTTTTAGGCGATTTCAACGTCCATAATATACCCTGGCTGAAACACCACAACAAAACAGATAACGAAGGCAGAGAAGCAGAAGCTTTTGCCATAAGTTGTGGTCTAACGCAGCTTGTCGATGAACCTACCCGTATCTCAGAAAGGGGCGAATTTGCAGCGCTTTTAGACTTGTTCCTAACCACCAATCCTGACTCGTACACAATTCAAGTAGATGCTCCACTTGGTTCGTCCGATCATAAACTTATAATAACAAAGTGCGAAATGCTCATCCCACCAAGCCTACAACCACTTCCTCGTAAAATGTGGCACTATAAATCGGCAAAATGGAATGACCTAAAACAGTATTACCTGGATTTTCCATGGCAAGAGGTTTGCTTTAAAACAGCTGATCCCACTATTTGCTGTAATGAAATAACACAAGTAATCTTATCTGGAATGGACGCATATATCCCACATACAACTAAACGTAGAGCTAATGCCGAACCTTGGTTCAACAGCCAGTGTCAAACGGCTGTACAGAAAAAACACAGAGCATATAACCTTTGGAAACGACAACAAACCGCTCAAAACCACACAGAATTTATAGAAGCCAGAAATAGTTGCAAAATTACTATTGACTCCGCTAAAGAAACATACAATCAAAGAATAAAAAACAGGTTGCTGAATTGTCCAAGTAGTTCTAGGTCTTTTTGGTCTCTTGCAAAAGCTGTTGGATCTAACTTCACCAAGTCATCCATACCACCATTTACAGATAAAAATAATCACTTAGCCACAACATCAGAGGAAAAAGCCAATATGCTTGCCCAAATGTTTTCCTCCAACTCCAACCTAACAGTGCCAAACGGAAAAACTCCACCGTTCATTGAAAGGGTTTCCCATAGTATGCCAGAGGTACACTTTTGTCACAGAGAAATACGAAACTCCCTAAAAAAGCTGGATACAAACAAAGCAATAGGTCCGGATGGCATTCCCGCAATAGTACTCAAAAATTGCGCCAACGAACTCACCCCAACTTTCGCTAAATTATTCAATTTGTCTTACAGGCAAGGAGTATATCCATCATCATGGAAGTCTGCCGCAGTACAACCCATTCCAAAGAAAGGAAAAAAGACAGATCCGTTAAACTATAGACCAATTGCTCTACTTCCGGTGATATCAAAAGTAATGGAAAGAGTTGTGAACAATCACCTAACCAAGTACTTGGAAAAGTACAAAATTATCAACGATAAGCAATACGGATTTCGAAAATATAGGTCAACTGGCGATTTACTTACATACGTCACTCACTTATGGCAAAAAGCGATTGAGTTGCGGGGTGAAACAAGAACAATTGCCTTAGATATATCTAAAGCATTCGACAAAGTTTGGCATGAAAATCTGCTCAACAAGCTCAAAGCTATGGGATTATCGCCGAAACTTTGCACTTGGTTTGAAAGTTACCTAAAGGACAGATCCATTTATGTTGCACTGGATGGCCAGAACTCCAACT